CTACTGTCTAGTTGCTAAACCTACTGTCCAGCCTTTCCGACATCCCCTCGCACTTCACCAGCCTTCCAAACTACCTTACAACCCTTCCCCCTTCCCCTCTCCCCCTTGTCACCTTGTCGTCACCATCACCGCCCTGGGATCGTCGTTTCTGATCCTAATTGGGGATTGGATTGTTATTGTAATCCCCTTTTCCATTTGTGTCGTGTTGTGACCCTATTTATAAATTAATAAAAGTTTGTTTTCATGTTTTTGGTGAATTTCACCTAGTTTTGGTATCATTTGGTATTAAAGCTAGCCCAACCCTAGTCCCATCCAAGGGTTTCCTAGCATCCTCCATCAACCAAAAATTTTCTTTCCTTTCTGATTCCTTAATCCCTAGTCATGGCACCAATGAGATATATGCTCAAGCCTACCAGGAAGAGATAAGGCGAAAGCTCTGCCGCCTTCAACAAAAACTTGGAGAGATTAAAGAATTAATACAAAAAGAAGTAAACATCAACTGAGATTTGAAGAGTAGAAGAGGAGAAAGAAAAGAGGATCTGAATACCTTCCATTAGAATAATTTCAGCAACGAAGAAGTTAGACCAAGGCGTTTTGGAATCCAGTAACAAAGGAGGCCTAGATAGAGATATTTGAATCCCCCTCAGAGAAAGACTCACAGAGAGGAGATATCATTTGGATGGCACTGAGACTTTGATATCAAGGTTGATCTGACGGAGTTCGAAGGAGGTATGGATCTTAAGGATTTTATTGATTGGTTACTAGATATTGAGCGAATATTCGAGTATAAAGATGTGTCAAAGGATATGTGGGTCAAATTAGTGGTCATCAAGCTGAAGAAGAGTGCTTCTCTATGGTATGAGAACTTCCAGAAATAGAGTAAAAGTGAAGACAACGATAAGATTACCTGGTGAGAGAAGATGAAAAAGGCGATACAGAGGAAATACCTCCCACCTCATTACTGTCATATGCCTCTGAGACTCTACCACCTGTAGCAAAGAGATCCATCAATAGAGGAGTTCACAGAGCACTTTGATCAGTTGCATATAAAGTGTGATCTGGTCGAACCAAAAGGGCACACCACAACATGTTATCTGTGAGGGGTGTGGTCCTTGAAGTCAGTTATTAGCGATGTGGTATAAATGTGCCCTTATTCATTACTTGGAGATATTCAAACATTAGACCTCAAAGTGGAGAGGCCATAGAAGCAGAGCAGACAACAGACATCCTTTAGGCAGCAACCATCAGGCAAGCAAGCGCTTACATTTACAATGACCAACCAAAGAACTCCGAGAGACACAAGCAAGCCCGAGCAAGCGAGTGACACTCCGGATCAGAGCAGAAAGAAGTAGGAGAAAGGTAGCTCCTCCAACACCGTAGTGGCCAGGAAATGTTATCGATGCCACAACTACAACCACATAGCCTCTAGTTGTCTTACTAGCAGGTAGTCACTCTCACAGATCAGGGCACCATGGAAGAGCTTAGCGACGAGAAGCAAGCTAAAGAACTGGGTGAGGTTTATCAGCTTCCACCAGATGAGGGAGAAGTACTTGTGATTCGAATGATTCTACAGATCGAGACCACAAGAGATCAGCAGTGGATGTGCCACAAAAGTTTTTACACCCACTGCACAGTGAACGAAATCGTATGCAATTTATCATCCACAGCAAGAGCAACAAGAACTTGGCATCGACTCAGATGGTAGAGAAATTGAGAATCGCAATTCAGAGGTACTCCCAGTCATACTCACTGACATGGTTGAAGAAGGAGAGTTGAATTAGCATCGACTGGAGATATTTGGTAAAGTTCTTGATCGGAGGCCAACTGCAAAACCAGGTGTGGTATGACGTGATCCATATGGATGCCTACCACCTCCTGTTGGGACGATTGTGGCAGTTTGATCGAAGAACTCCACACAACGGATTAATAGGGCAAACACATTCTACTCCCTTCAACAGAGCCCGAGATCACTGAAACTCTTACCAGTAGAGCGGCGCAAGTAGGGCCAGTTCTAGTGACGACACAGGATGAGAGAACTGAGACACTGGCTCCAGACACTAGATAGTTGTGTCAGAGAGGATGTCGGGACCTTGTAGTTAAAACCATTTCACCAACTATTGGAAGAAACTTCTCCGAAAAAATCTTCTTCCAGTTTCACCGCGGAATAGGGTCAAATGTTTCGAGAAAACTTGAACAATAAATTCAAGTACAAAAGCAAAATCAAAATAACCAGAAAAACACACAAAAATTTTACATGAAAAAACACAAAAACAGAAAAAAATCACGAAGCCACACCACCACAAATTCACTATGAAGAACAGATAGTTTTGCAAAGGTCTCACACAAGTTTCTTCTTCACACTCATATAAAAAAACTTACAAGATGCTTCACAATCTTCCTTCTCCAATGTGATACGAATAACACATGCAGAGATCCCAAAAATCCTTCTCCGAAACTCTTCTCTCCTTCACCAGAAACTTGTTAAAGAACACTTGAGAAAGACTCACCCAGCACACATTACATCGCTCGAAAATTTGGCCTTAAAACCAAAAAATCGTGGTAACTGCACCAAGCGCATAAGCACCAGGACTGGGCGCAAAGCGCCCGTCTCTCGAAAAGCAAAATCGTGCCCAGCATATTTGGGCACTTGATCGCTCCAAGGGGGCGCAAAGGCGTCCCCTTCTCTGTCAAGCTCCTAAGCATGAGCAAGGCACTCATAGGGGGCGCAAAAGTGCACCCCCCCTACAGGCAGAGCCCAAACATGGGCTCAAAATGCGCATAAGGCCGGCGCAAAAGCATCTGCTTTTCAATTTGGATTGGGTGTTGTGGGCTCCACAATCACAACACCAACTCCATTAAACGAAAAGATTTAATCTACTCTCGTGGTATATCCCACTGGCTTGACCGTGGGTTACCTTGGGAGGATCCAGTAGTACAAGCATGGGCCACAGTCTCAGGAGAGCAGATCGATAAGGACATGGATGCTCGAGTGGTGCCGACTTCTTCGATACTCTAGTTAATAATGCAACAGACGGTGGAGCTCAGGTGTTGCAGGAATAGAGAGAACAACCATAAGCTTCGACAAAAGAAGTCGAAGCTCTCCCAACCCCGGGAGAATGAAGCGAGTGCGGTAGTTTCTCGCACGGAAGCGGGAAACAAAGCCAGTCAGTTGACCCAGCTTGCATAGGGGACAGTCAGGGGGATCCCATCAAGACGTCCAAAGTGTCGAGCGGCATCGAGCGGCCCATGTGGCTTTCCTTTCGCATCTCCCTCCAAGATCTCTATCTCTTTCCTTCTTTCTCTTCTTTATTTCTATCTTCTCTCTCCTCTTATCTCTCTTCCCTCCCTTTCGAGAGAATTTTTGCTCAATCTTTCTTTCACTCACTCTCCCTCTTGCACCATCCCTTTCTCCCTATCACACCCACCCTTTTTCTCCCACCCTCCCTCTCCCTCCCTTACTCTCGCCTGCCCTTTTCTCCTCCTTCCATTCTCGTTGTCTTTTCTTTCTTGTTTCCCACCAAGATAATTATATGCTTGTTTTTTAAGTTTAGAGTTAATTTTTGATGTATTTGCTTTTTCAAATTTCCTAGTTTTCAGATCTCCTGTGTGGAATCATTTTCCCTTTTGTAGGGTTGTATCCGAGGAGGTGGTAGTGCTCCGATTATATTCTAATCCGAGGTGGTGACTTATCTTCCCTAGATCCGAGGGGGTGACTTATCTTCCCTAGCATGTCTCTTCCACTCACCTTAGTTGTCGACCACCCCAAGCCTTCCCCAACTGCCTCCAGCCCACTTTCCAGTCGTCCAACCTATTGTCCAAACCCTCGAAGTTTGTCATATAGCCCTGAAACCTGTTGTCTAGTCACTGAATCTGTTGTCCAGACTTCCATTACCTGTTGTCCAGTATTTCTGGCCTCCCCCAACCGCACACC